ACCCAGGTCCTCTGCAAGAGCAGCCAGTGCTCTTAACTGCTGAGTCATTTCCCTAGCCCCAGGATTTTTGTTAGTTAACCTTCACCTATACCCATACACTCACATATATATTATATGTGGATAAAACTAACCCAGGTCCTCTGCAAGAGCAGCCAGTGCTCTTAACTGCTGAGTCCTTTCCCTAGCCCCAGGATTTTTGTTAGTTAACCTTCACCTATACCCACACACTCACATATATAATTATATGTGGATTTTTTGAGACATGGTCTCTCTGTAGCCCCTGTGGTTCTAGATGGCCTGGAACTCACTATGTAGACCAGGCTGATTCGATATGCTTAGTTAACTACTCTGGTTTATGTGATCAACAGTAGTGACAGGAGAGGCACGAGAAAGGTTAGTAGGTGCAATATTTAGTGAAAGACTTATTTATAAATAAGAGTTCTAACCTCTTCTTAGTACTTAGTATCCTTCTTCTTCCCCTTTTCTGTCAGAGCCTCAGGTCTGATTAGATTTTCAGTAATGTGTGAGATTAAAACAGAAAGTCTGCAGAGGACAGGAGAGTCACCCTGTGGGCTGTGTGTTTGCTTTGCTTGTGTTACTCAAGTAAGCAACATATTTTTCTGAGTCACTTTCTCCTCTTGTAAGTGTTACCTTAAGGAAAGGTAAAGTAGATCAATTGAAAAATTCATCTAGGTGGGTCACAGAATGCTGTAGCCTGTTGCAACTGAAGTCAGTAAGGACATGTCTGTCTAGGATGTAATTATTGTATTAAGAATGCTCTACCTCTCATAGGTTCCACACAGAAACAGAAACTGAGTTCTATGCTTCCCTCCCCCACCTTTGAAGTTATCACAATCCGCATGGGAGACCCCAGCCTGGATAGTGTATGATAGAAATTCTCTTTGATGCTGTCTGTGCCGGCCACAAGGATAGACTGATGGGAAGGGTAGACAATGGGGGCTCCTAGTGCCAGCCTGGGATGTAGAGCAGTGGAGCCCCACCTCCATGTCATCTACTATGCATGTTCTCACAGAGAACAGCCTCCCCAGGCACAGCCCTCAACTGTAAACTAGCAAGCATGGGAAGAACCACACTGTAGAGTTTTGGGAGAAGAAATTCCAACCACAGGGTGTGGCATTTGGACTAGTGCCATTCTTTTGTTATGACAAGGTATCTTAATCCACTTTCCATCACTTTAAGAAATACCGGCGGCTAGGCATTTTTAAAGAAGGGACTTTATTCAGCTAATGGTTTTGGAGGCTGAAAGCCCAAGGTTGGGTGGACTGATGTTGGCATCTAATGACTGTCATTGACTGTGTCACACCATAGCAGATGACAACATGGCAGGAGCATGTTTGGGAAGACACATGGCAAGAGAGGAAGCAGGGATGCTAGTGAGGGGCTAGGATTACTGTCTCACAATAACCTGCTCTTTGAGGATCGAATCTCTCCTGAGACACTGCACCAGCTCTTCCAGACCATCATCAAACCCTCTTCAAGGATGACCCCGGCCAGTGACTTCCCACTAGACCTCATTCTTAACAGTTCCACTGTGTCTTAACACCTCCACATTGGGGCATAAGACTCCAGCACATACATCTTTGGGGGAGACACTCAAGCCATATCCAAACCATAGATTTAGCCACTCTAGAACTAGCCACTCTCTAGAGAGGGCTCTTGACTGTCCTGCACAGGGCCCTCCCACTGGGTGGCAGGGAGCTCTCATGCAGGAATGCATAAGGCTCAGGAGTAAGGACCTGGCTTGGTTTGGGGGGGCTGCTCTTTCTTCTTACTCCTCGGTTTCTACTCTGCTTTCCCAGCAGTCTATAGGCGCATGTTCCTCTGGGATGGCCGTGGCTTTTCTGTCTGATTTTTACTCCCTTCCTCACTCTCTTCCTTGGACAGCTGTGGTCCGCTAAATGCAGTACTTTTGCTTATATCTGTGACTTTCTGCTGACTCCCTGCCTGCTGTCATGAGTCTTTGGTGGGAAGAGGCCTGGAATCATGGTAAGGACAACGATGCTTGTGGTTTTAAAATTTTTATTTTATATGTGTGAGTGTTTGGCTTTCATGAATGTAAGTATACCATGTGTACACAGTGCTTGTAGAAGCCAGAAGAAGGCATTGGATGCTGTGTAATTGGAACCATGGACAGCTGCTAGCTGCCATGTGGGTGCCACCAAACCTGGGTCCTCTCCAAGAGCAGCCAGTGCTCCTAACCGCTAAACCAACTCTCCAGTCCATTTTTCTTTTTTAGATTTAATATTTATTTTTTGAATTACACCTATGCATATGTGCCTGCACGTGGGTTTGTGCACGTGAGTGCAGATGGCTGCAGAGTCCAGAAGGAGGAACTGGATTCCCTGGAGCTGGAGTTACAGGCGGTTGTTTGTGAACTGCTTGATGTGGGATCTGGGAATCAAACTCTGGTACTCTGGAATAGCAGTGTGTGTTCTTAACTGCTGAGCCTTCTCTCCAGTCCAGTGCTGTGATTTAATGCCGTTATTTCCTTTCAAGATGAACTTGGACAGAGCACATAGGCTATAATTTAATTTTTAAAATTTATCTTAAACAATTTTTAGGGCAGTTTTGTTTCACAGCAATATTGGGCAGAGAGTAGAAAGGGTTCCCACTTAACCCTACTTCCTTATCCAGTTTACCCCATTATTAATGCTCCCCTACAAAGTGGTGCATTTGCTGCAATTTAGGAAACCATGTTGACACATCACTGTCACCAGAGCTGGTA